AAATCGTCTTAAAGGATTAACTATTGCAATAGCATGGAAATATTAAGAATATCTAATTTATTTTTTATCCTTTAATGATTATTGTTTGTACTCTATGTTAAAGCATAAAGAGCAACACATAGCAAAAGGCCTGTAAGGAACCCCCAAACAAAACTGTAAGTTCAATACCGTAAGTTAGGGATGAATACATGAGGCATTCGCTAAGAGTGGTGTCAATTGAAAACCAAACTAAATAGCCTATGGTTTTCATTAAAAACTGCATGAATGGGAAATTCATCTCTAGGTCATTTTTATTACAGAGCTCCAAATTGAGTCCATTTCGCTCTTCCATTTTTACTATGTAAATGGTTCGGTCAGGAAGTCTTTGCTGGTTGTAGCCAAGGAAAATTTCTAGGATCTGAAAATGTCTCAGTCGTATTTGACAGCACAGTACCAGCTCTTTGCTTCACCCAACACACAGGTCTGAAGATAAGACAGATTCAAAGGGAGAAAAATGAATCTCAGATCTATTCACAAGCAATTCACACACATTCTTCAGACTCAGATTTATGGCTCATCCTTTGCTTATATATTTCAGAGCCAACTTCGTTTCTTTCACGACATAGCAGATAGAATATTGTGATTATGTTTGGCATAGATATGAGAGGTTATGAGGAAAGAATTTCTACAGAAGGAGCAGGATAAATTCAGCTTTCTCCTTTGTGGAATCCAGAGGAGGCAACGCAGAGCATGTACTTCCCATAAGGAGAGACAGGCCAGTGTGGCTCTGATTGCAAACTGGGTGCCAGCCTTCTTGCCTGAGGCCCAACCTGGATTTAAAAATGCTGTGTTCTTTAGTGATAGTGTACAGTTTTCACAAACCAGCTTATTTTGGTGTTTTATTTTGTTTTCATTCTTTGTCTTTTCTCACAAGCATGTGAGTCAACACTGTGTGCAAAAAAAAAGACTATCCAGGACATAACACAAACACAAGGGTGGCTGAATTCACACAGCAGATATGTAAAAGGGGAAAGGGGACATCGCCACCTCCAGTTCCTCGTGTCTCAGTTATGAGGAACTGAGATAAATGCTTAAGCCACCTTATTTTAACACACTGACTCCAAAATTAAAAAGGGCCTAAGAATAGCCTTGCCAATTGCATGCCCACCCTCCTTTCCTTGGGAGCAAGCTGTGCTGTACAAGGGTCTAAAGAATGAAATGGAGTGTCATTGATTCAAGCAAGCAAGTCTCCTAATCCTGTATTAAGGCCAAAGGAAATCAAAACATACTCGGGTTGTAGAGCGCGCTCATAAGAGAAAAAACAAAACAAAACAAAAAACTCTCAACTGGATTTCTTAAGAGATATTGATCTGGAGTTTCCAATGCTCTCACATTGCATACCAGGCATAATTGGGGTCTGTCCCTTCTATACTGCAATTCCCTGTGAAGATCTCAACTCAATGTAGGCAGAAGCCAGTGTATAGGATTAACTTTATTTAAATAATTAGACCTGAAGTTCCTTATAAAGCAACCTAGAATACTTTCATTAGAGGGCTGAAAATGTTTTAAATGAACACATAGGAAAATCACTGACATTATCAGTAACTTTCTTAAAATTACAATAGTTAAGGTTTTATTTGAATGGGCTGGATTGAATCAAAAGGTCTACCACTTTTGAACATCAATAATTCATTTTACATTTATGTACTATTTAAGACTTGTGGCCCTATCCATTGGAATTAAATTCCATAACTTACAAATATGATCCAAAGAACAACCCACTAAACATTACTATTTGTCTATAATATTTGAATTTGGCCACTAACTCTGACCTTTTATCTCTTAAGCCCTGCTTTCAGCTAAGGAAAATAGTTTCAAGTCTCTAAATCAATCCACCTTTGCAAGGGCAACATTCTGCGAATAGGTCCCAAATCTGAAAATAAGGAAAGCTCCAGGTGCTAGAAAAGGGATGGGTTGTCTGCACTGTGGTTAAGATGACTGCTTCTGTGCAATCTGTAGTGAACCTTTTGGGTAGAATAATCTCCTAATGGCAATCTGCTTTAGATGTCTATTTTAAAAGTATCTGAAGGGACGGCCAGGGCTGGGCATCTGGGAACCAGAGGTCCCAGAGACTTAGAAGAAACTTCCTTTCCAGCTCATGGCCTTAAGGATGGAGGATGGGAAGAGGAGAGTCAACTTCCACGCCCTGCTTCTGTTTCTGCCTTTCAGACTCAATCTTTCTTTGTCTCCAATCAATTAACGACAACCCTCCTAACTGGGCCTTCCTGTCACTAAAAATACCTTTTTTAAAAATTATTATTATTTGCAGAAACCCCATTATTCATTAGCAATGTGTTTATATCTCTAATAAACCAGCTTTTTCCTCCAAAGAACTGTGTTGCCTTTACAGTTAGGATACTTCTGGTTGACCCAAACTGAATACAAAGATATTCATTCATTCATTTAAGTCAAGAGCAAAGATCCTGAATATTAATGCAGAGATGAACTATGCTTAAAAAAAAAGGAAAAATAGAGCATCACTCTTAACTGTCCTCAGGTGCTTCAATTAAAATGTGTTTCAATTAAACACACACACAAGAAAAACCCGTATTAAAGACTGGAGGTAGGAGCTGGAGAAAGGGGGATTTCTCTCCTGGGAACTTAACTGATAAATGAAGGTCAGATATTCAGACCATTCTTCAGCCCACAGTAGCAGCGCTAATAATCCCTCAAATGAAATCTTTATTTGCTTTTGTTAATCATCCTCCAATTTTGGATAAAAACTCTACACTATCTTTTTTTTTTTTCTTTAAAATGACCAAACAACTTACTTATTTAAATTCCCCTTTTATGAAAACTACAGTATCTTCCTTTCATTAAAATCTCCCTTGTTGATACACGCAAACCAGGTCAATTTCTGCTGGATTTGCATACTTCTGGTTTTGATCCCTTAATTCAATTCCTCCTTAAAGGTCTTTAAATGTCTAGCTGGACCTCAGCTAGACATAAAACAAACACTGTTTAGATGTCTATGTGAACATTGACACCATTTACGGATTTTTTCTTTTTTCCTTTTCCTTGGGGCTCAGCACCCTGTCTATAATCATTACTTATTAAACAGGCTGCCATTCCGTTTTACAGAACATAGGAAGGGAGCATGAAGTGGTAGGAATAATTACTGTGGGCTTTTCTTTGGAATGGAAGGCAAAGAAATCAATTGAGAAAGAACATGAAATATCCCCAAAATGTGTAACCATACCCTGACAAACATACAAATATACAAGGTGGGGAGGTCATCCAAAATCCATTATTCCTATCAAATACATCAGAAATGAAGATCAAAATGCTGGAGGCTTCAGGAGAGACATACATTTTTCAAGCCAGTGAATATGCCCACACTTGGACATGCACAGCCTTTATTCCTCCACACAACTTAAGCTAGATTTATTGAGATGAGCCTCTAAACACCTCCTGAGAAAATGTGTTCTCAGAAAATGACTGCTTTGGCAAAAGGAAAAAGAAACAAGTTACTGGCTTGACTACCATTCTGGTTTGTAGCAACCTCCCTCCTTCGCTTCTCCCTGCTTAATTTATCTTCTAGTCATCCCCCCTACCCCCCGCCCCCCAGAGCACAGTATGAGCATCAAGGCTTTCTGACCTGGATATTACCCACAAACGCACAAAAATAAATTAAGTTAAAAAGGCTAAATAAAACCCAAGGTAGGATCACAGATCAGGAGAATGAAGAATTCCAGGATGATGAGAAGCAAACCTGGCATTCCTGACCACCAATGAAGAGTTAATGAGGAGCCCTGCTCCTTCCCCCCAGATGTTATGGCTCAAAATATAAATGTCCTATCGAGATAGCATAACTAGACTGTGTTTGTAGATTAGCCTGGCACAGAACTTGAACTAGCAGGCTGGCGATTTGTCCTAAATAACCTTCGCAGGTTGCAGAAACTGCTCCTATATCCTGGATCAATAGAGGGAAAGGGTTCTTGAGATTCTTTCAATAAGAACAAGATAGGTGGAGAGGTAAATCAGTAGTGTAACACGTTTATAAAAAATATGGAGCAACTATACACCTCCTATTCAAATACACACAAAGCTATCACGGTTGGGGAATGCACGGGCCAGGACAAAGCAGACAAGGAGGAAGATCCGTGCAGTCCAAGTGTGAGATGTTTCTAAAGGGTTGGGTGTTCTCACCCTGGAGTACCAAGAACTCTATCCCAGTCCTCCAGTAGTCTCCAGGCTCAGAAGGAGAGCAGATGAGGTTCACACCCCACCTTTGGGAAATGAACAAAAGCAAACGCTTGGCAGAGCTGAGAAAACTCCTCCATCGTCAGGACCGGAGGTGGCAGCTCTGCAGGGCTCCCTTCTTATTTGTCCTCAGTTCTGGATCTCGGTGGCCACAGAATCAATGTCTATACCCAGGAACGGCCACAGGCAGGCTAAGGGGGAGGGAGTACGGAAGATCCGTTTAGCCCTCAGCTGTGCATCTCCTCCTTTCCCTACGTCCCTCAATGGCTTCTAATTAACCCTTCCCAGTCCCAGTCCGGGTCAGGCTGGTGGAAGCTTCTTCTGCTACAATCTACCAGCATCTCCATCAAACCATAACTACCACCCACGGACATAACTTCCCTTTGTGGCTAATCGTCGGTCAATTTGCATGTGTGTTTCTTTCCCTCCCTCCTCCCCATCCCGCCTTAGGAGCCAAACCCTAGAGCTTGCCAGCGGGTCTGCAGCGAAGAGGGATAGCACTCACTTAACCCCTTGGAGGGAGTTGGGCGATCAGTTCTCATTTGGGACCCACTAAAGTCGGGCCTATTAAACTAAACGACGCCCCCCACCCCCAAGACCCAGAACAAGCAGGCACTTCTTGCGGCCAGTTTTATCCAGCTCCCTCGGTGCCCCAAACCTAAGTTGGGGGCTGGGGGTTGCTAGGATAGGCGGCAAAGGGAAAAGACAGCAGGAGCGCAGAAAGGAAAGGCAGGAATAAATCACAGTTGAGACAGTGTTTACTTACGAAATTTGGGGCTGGTGCTAGTTTCTGGCGTAACGTTGATAGAGAAGGAGGAAGAAGAGGAGGAAGAGGAAGAGGAGGAAGAGGCAGCGTCCTGGAAGGGAGACAGGGTCCAGGAGGGAGTAGAATCGTGAAGGTAGGAGGAGGTAGCGTATGCCGCAGTGGGCCAGGAGGGCATGGCCTGGGTACCAGGGCTTCCTGGCACCGGGGGGCGGGAGCCTGGTGTGCTGCTGCTCAAGGAGGATGTTGTGGACAAGACCGTCGAGGGGGCTGCAGTGTTCCGTGTCGTGGTGGAGCGCGGGCTGGCCCGGATGGGCACCCGGTGACCTGGGAAACGAGTGGGAGCCCGTGTGACGGTGGTCAAGCGGGTGCTAATCCGGTTGGGCGTCCTGGAGGAGGTGGCGCCGCCGGCAGATGGGGTAGCAGGGGACGTGGTCGAAGTGGTCATGGTGGTGGTCTCCATGGCCTTGGGGAAGGAGCTGGGCTTGGAGAGGAAGAAGGGGTCCTGGCCCATTCCCTTGGAGTCCACCAGGTCCGTGGGCACGTACTCCTTGACGGAGCCCACCACGATCCATTTGAGGAGCATGAGGCTGAGCCCCAGGCCGATGAAGCCGATGAACAGAGGCACCACGCACAGCCACGTCTGCTGCCGGTTCCACACGATGCAGTTGCTACAGCGTAACTCCCGGGGGGGCTCGACCGCCCCTTCGCCGCCGCCGTCCAGGCCCCCGCCCGCCGCAGCCGCAGCCGCCGCGGTGCCCTCCTCGGCTGAGGCGGCGGCTGCCGAAGCAGCACCAGGTGGCGAGGCAGCGGCCGCACCTTCACTCATCCTAGGAGCTGGTCTTCACCTTCGCCCCACGAGGGCCGCGCCAGAGGCATGGGGCCGCGCGGCCAGGCTGGCGCGAGCTCCGGCGGCGGCGGCGGCGGGTTCCAGCGCAGGCAGCGGCGGCCGCATGCAAATCGGCTCCCTGCCCCCACGCCCCTCCCCCCGAGAGGCGGGCGGCGGGCGGGGAGAGAGAGCGGAGGAGGGGACGCGGCCGGGGAGGGGTAGGCGAGGAGCGCAAACCGGGCGAGACGGCCCCTGGCGCCGGCCGGTCAGAGAGCAGCAGGGCGCGTCTGCAGGCTAGCCAAGCGGCCTCCTGCGCGCCGAGGCCCCGCGCCCGCTGCGGCTGCTTTTGCCGCTGCCGCCCGATGCCTGCATGCGTACTGGCCGCGCCGGCATCTTAGTGCGCCGCCGGCTGCTCCGGGGACGCCTGCCGTCTCTGGGCCTCCGCCGCCTTCAGGGGCCGAGGCGGTCGGCCGCGGGGTGCCAGGCACCGGCCCGCCGCATTCCGACACAGGGGCCGGCTGGGGCGCCGCCGTTCGCCCGACCCACGCGCCGCGTTCCTAGGCGGGTGCTTGGTGCGCGGGAGGCGAGGTGCACTTGTTCTTCAGCCGGTCCGCAGCCAACCCTCGGCCAGCACTCCCCAGGAGAGACCAATCCGAGCGCAGCGCGGAGGGCGAGCGGCTGGCTCGTCTTGCTCCCACCGCCACCCGTGAATCCAACTCCAGCGGGCGGCGCCGCCGGAGTCCGGCTCCGGGGGCGCACGGACGCCGTGACGGGTGCGTTTGAACCGGCGGCCGAGATAAGCGCCTCTCCTTCGCAACCTCGCCGCGACGCGGCTGCCCGATCGAGCGCGGAGACGGAGAGATGGCGGCCACGCCAGGGTTCCTGGCCGGCACTGGCAGCCAGCGGGCGTGCGTGTGTGTGTGTGTGTGCGCGGAGCGGCGGCACACTGCCTGGGCTTCGCGCCGAGTAGCACCTCCCACCAATACCTAATGGTGGGTTTTTTTTGTGGTTTTTTT